ACGCGGGGCCCGAACCCAGGACCCCGGAATCATGACCCGAGCCGAAGGCGAGGCTTTAACCGACTGAGCCACCCAGGCGCCCCTCAAGATTTTATTTTTAAGTAATCTCTACGCCCAGCGTGGGGCTTGAACTCACAACCCTGAGATCAAGAGCCGCATGCTTTACTGACTCAGCCAGCCAGACGCTTCAGTCTTCACATTTTTAAATGGCAGAAAGAAGTCAAAAGAAGAGTGGTATGTTGTAATCCAGGAAAATTCTATGAACTTCAAATTTCATCATCCATAAAGTTTAAGTGGAACACATCCACATTCATTCATTTATGTACTGTCTACACTCTAGCACTAATATCAGCAGAGCTGAGTAGTTGCTACAAGACCATATGGCCTCCAAAGATTAAAATATTTACTGATTATTTACAGAGCAAGTCTGCCACCCTTGTTGTTTCCTGGGGTTTTTTGGGGGGAGGAGGTTAATTGAGGTATGGCCTCTATAGTCATTTTTAAAATTTCAATCTCCATTTTATCTTAGCCACTTGGCCAAATAACACTTGAAAGGGGAAGAAGCATTCAATGATTATATGGCAATACATGATTTGTGTATACACTAAGGGATACTAAATTTAAAATTAAATTTAAAATTAAATAGAGATTGAGGGATACCTGGGTGGCTCGGTCAGTCGGGCATCTGGGTCGTGATCCCAAGGTCCTGGGATCCAGCTCCACATCTGCATTGGGCTTCCTGCTGGGTGGAGAGCCTGTTTCTCCCTCCCTCTGCTGCTTCCCCTTCTTGTGCTCTCTCTGTCAAATAAATGAAAAAAATCTTTAAAAATTTTTATTTTTGTAAAGATTTTATTTATTTGAGAGAGAGAGACAGAGAGCCAGAGAGCACAAGCAGGGAGGAGAGGGAGAAGCAGACTCCTTGCTGAGCAGGGAGCCTGACGTGGAGCCTGATCCCAGGACCCTGGGATCATGACCTGAGCCGAGGGCCAGGCACTTAACCAACTGAGCCACCCAGAAGCCCCTAAAAAAAACCTTAAATAGAGATTGAAATATTCACTTTGAAGTCTGGATTATACAAATTACTTAGACTCACTGATTAAATAAATACTTATAGTGTCCAGGGTCGTTATTAATTCTGCAAACACCGGATTTGACATGAATGCTTCAGTATTTCTAAACTGATGAAAGCTCAAAACATTGCCCAGTAGTTACACCTCGCTTGATAAAGGGGTTTAGAAAATCTTATTCTAGATACTGCATTGATGTATTTTGTATCAGAAATTAATGCACTGATACATCAGAACATATTTTGTATTAGAAAATGTGATTTAGTATATAAAAACGTATGGTGCATACAGAATTTCTTAATAAATAATTTAAATTATCTTGGGCTGAATTTTTTTTCTTAATATTTTATTTTTTTTTTATTTTTTTTTAAAGATTTTATTTATTTATTTGACAGAGAGAGAGATCACAAGTAGACGGAGAGGCAGGCAGAGAGAGAGAGAGAGAGGGAAGCAGGCTCCCTGCTGAGCAGAGAGCCCGATGCGGGACTCGATCCCAGCACCCCGAGATCACGACCTGAGCCGAAGGCAGCGGCTTAACCCACTGAGCCACCCAGGCGCCCCAAGATTTTATTTTTTAGGTCATCTCCACATCCTACGTGGGGCTCAAACTCATGACCCCGAAATCAACAGTCGCAGGCACTACAGACCGAGCCTGCCGGGTGCCCCTATTTACTCAGATTTTAAATGACAGTGGTGGAAAAACCAATATCCTCATATTTAGCGGTAGTTATCTTGACATGGGGGAGTTAAATAACTATTTTTCTTCCTTCCTGTATTTTCCAATTTGTCTATATTTTGCCTGTTGTAATTACCAAAAGAGTTTTTAAATAGGGCATTACTTGACCAATTTAAAATTCCCTTAATCCTCATGAACTTGCTTTGCATTTACTTTCCTCCTAGCCTAGCCAAAGAGCTATGCGATGTGGAAGGAAGTAAACCTGAGGTTTGGCAGTCTGAAAATGAAAAACAAAAGCAAGTCACAAGAGCCAAGAATAAAATTAGAGGCAGTGCCAACTTAGAAAGTCTGCTCACTGTTCTTGGGGGGAAAAAAGCACAAAGGCCTTTGAAAAGGCAGGGGGAGGGGGACAGAGGGGGTGGTGGTGGAGAAAAGTTCACATGGTCAAAGTAATTAAATAAAACAGTACTTAATTGCCCTGTGGAATTCCCTCTCCGGGCTAAAGTGAGGGAGTTATTTCAGCAACCTGCAAAGAAACATTACATACCTATATATTTTCCAAAATCCCTCCAGTAGTATCAGACAGAAAATAGCTTTCAGGTCATAATTTTACTTTTCAGAGCAAAACCCAATTATCGGGTGCATTTGTAAAAATTCCAGAAATAGGCAAAATAGGTTTGTTTATTCGTCTTTCTCACCCTACCAGCATTGGCCAAGAAGGAAAATTATGAACCTTCTGAGAATTAATGTGTTCTAGAACTCCTTCTGCAAGGAGATCGAGAACCTAAGAAAGACAAGTTTAAGAAATGTTTGCGAGGTATTTTTTATGAAGACAAATAGTTAATTCATTGTGAAGGAAAATGTGTAATCATTTATCAGCTGTTGGAACTATTTAATAATAGCACCATGTGACATTAATTGCTATTCCAAAGAACACGTGGCATGGATGCAGAAAAGGTAAGCTGTCAAACGAAGCTGCGTGCGCTTTGCCTCATTCCCAGTAGCAAACTACGAACAGGTCACCAACCTGGTTCCCTTCTTTCTGGGTACGCAGCTGTCTGCTGGTTCCTTGACCCCCTCTGTGCCTGCAGGTCATCCCGGGACTGACTTCCGGCTGGGAGCATATGGGTAGACGAGATGTTTGGCTTTTTCCGGCCTGACCCTTATGGGCCTCACGCTGGCCAGGCTCTATTTTTTCTCTGCTGACCGACTGGAGAGGACTCCAAGGCGGAAGAGGCAACAAGGCGCAAAGACCCGTTGCTGTTCCGAGGAGAGCCACCTGCCAAGGACACCTACACTGCACTGTGACAGGACCAGGAATCTGTGCATACACACCCCTGTCTTGAGGCTGGTGTTCACCATGTGTGAAGGGCTAAGTGCGCGCTGCCTCTGAGCACAGGACTGAAATCACTTGACCAGTGGCTCTGGGGGGAGGGTAATCTTTTTTTCCCAAAGATTTTATTTATTTGAGAGAGAGAGCGCGCGCGCGTGCACAAACAGGGAGGGAGAGGGAGAAGCAGGCTCCCTGCTGAGCAGGAAGCCCGATTCGGGGCTCCATGCCAGGACCCCGGGATCATGACCCACGCTGAAGGCTTAACATACTGAGCCACCCAGGCGCCCCGGGAAGGGTAATCTTGACGAAGGGGGGCGTCTTTCAAAATTATACAGGTCTTCTCCCAACATTTAAGCTACCATGGATGGAAAAATCATTTTCTTCATTATGTTTGACTCAAGAGAGAGGTAGTGAGATCTGCGCTCCCAATTCCTCACTGGGGAGGAAATCCGGTGACACTCTCGTTGTTTGGGAATAGCTCAAAATTTTTAGTTCCGACTGAGTGGGGTCATTTGCAGATAAAGGCAGGAATATCTGGTACAAGGCCCTAACAGAACCCTCATACCACCTTTCCCCAAAACATTATTCCCTTACAATCCGAGGTCAAGAACAAATCTCTTAGGTCATTTCACAGAACGTCTTCTCACTAGACAAGATAGATCTTCTCGAAGATCAGGGAACCTTGACCTCAGAAATGTAACTTCTCTTAGCGTTTCCACATGTCTAATTCCACAGAGACAACCAGCACTGAGTTTCGACCGATGAGGTTAGGCCTGGTCAAATGATTGTATTTCCTTGAATAAAAGTCATTAATAGTAATGCAAACTGTTCGGTGCTCTCAGTTCTGATCATTTGAATGTTGCCCACCCACCCCCACCAAAAAAAAAAATTAATGCGAGTCAAATCAGACAGTAACAGGATGCCTCAGACCAAAATGACATTAAATGCTTTTTTATTGAACAAAAAGAGATAAAACATGGAAGTTGAAATCACTGAGCAAAAGCAGCTCCCCAGGGAAGGCTGCTACACTTTGTGCTAAATAACCTTATGAATTGAGAGTATACAGAACACGGATAATATGCAAGTTATCTCAACAGCAAAGGAGAAGGCGTAGATTACAGTTTCGGAAGGAAAAATTTGGTCAAGTGACAAATTTAGTTGCTCAACATTTCTAGCCCTTGTCCACCTAAATTCAGTAGGATTCTCTGTGTGCGCTACTGAATTCCCATTTTAACGGAAGCTGCTTTTTGGTAGAAATTTAAAAAGATCATTCATGTTTATTTGACGTGCCATTCCATTTTTAAAATTTTGTGTCTGCTCAATGTGCGTGTGTGTATGTATTTATACACACTTTAGAAACCCCGAACTCTTGTTTCTAAGCAGAGGGGTCATGCTGTTTCTTTTTTTTTTATTATTATTATTAATATTGGTGAATTTCAGTTATTATTTCTCCTGTGTGTCTAAGAAACTTCATATGTTTTCAATGCGCCCACGCAGATAGGTGGGTTGACAGATATGTCAAAAATACTTTATGAAAAGAGGGAGGTAGCTCATGCGAGTTGGCAACCTTTTGTCTATTGTTTCCTGTTGGAGCAAGCTGCCTCCCTTCGACATCTCACAGTCAACGATGAAAGGAAAACTTTTTACTTTGAAGCCGAGTTAGCACAGTTGTACACTTACTACAATCCACCTTCGAGTTGGTTCACTGGGCTTTCTAATGTAAGATGACAAATACCTTACACCCAATACACAGCATCGAAAAAGTACTGAAGAAACATTTTATAGACAATATCTTGGGTTGGTTTTTTTTTTGTGTGGTTTTTTTTTTTGGTGTGTGTTTTTGTGGTTTTTTTTTTGTTTGTTTTGTTTTTATATGTTAAACATCAGCTTCAATGGGATACATTTCCAGAATGGTTTTGTTACCACTTTATAAACACTCTAAGCCAAACAAACAGCACAAATAACATCAATGTTGTCTTTTTTTTTTTCCAATATCTGTATCAATTACTGGAGGCTAATCCTAAGATACACTACTAAAGGGGGCGCAAAAGAAGAGAATTCATGACACGCTGCAAGGATAGGACCACAGCATCTTAGTCACGGGGCGGGGATGATCTTAAGGTGCAGAAAGGGGGGATTCTCTAGAAGGTGACGGTGTGGTTTCTTCGGGCGGGAACACCGTGAGTGTACAAGCTCGGATGCCACCAAGGGACTCTGGGAGATCAAACACCTTATGCCACTCATCTTTGTCAGGGTCGTATTTCTGCACTATCTCCACCATACAGCGATTATTCCAGGAATACCCACCAACCACGTAGATCTTATTTTCAAAGACCGCGACCCCAACATCGCTCTGCCCCCTTAACATGGCGGCAATTGGGGTCCACTGGTCAAGGATAGGTGAGTAGTATTCACAGCTTAGGACGTCATCATAATCACTTGTGCCCCGGAAGTGATTGCCGCCAATGACGTAGAGCCTCTCGCCCACCGTACACATGCAGTGCAGGCCTCTGACCGTGGTCATCGGCGCCTTCTGGATCCATTTGTCGGTATCCGGGTCAAAGCACATGAGCTCCTTTTGGAAAGTGTCATGAGTGATTCCTCCTAGAGAATGAAGGTAGGCACGAGGGTAAACAGATTATGATAAAGATGCAAAAGTCAATAAAAAGCTCTCTATCCTAGATTCGGCTCAGGTCATGGTCTCAGGGTCCTGGGATCAAGTCCCACTTCCGGCTCTCTGCTCGGCAGGGAGCCTGCTTCCCTCTCACTCTCTCTGCCTGCCTCTCTGCCTACCTGTGATCTCTCTGTCGAATAAATAAATAAAATCTTAAAAAAAATTAAAAAAAAATCCAGAAGGTAACACTTTCAGCTTCTTAAAGAACAACAACAACAACAAAAATCTAGCTTATGTTATTGCAAGGACTTTCTCAAGCAGAGAGCCGTGGAATTTAAGAGGCTTTGCTAAAGGAAAAGAGATTTGGGCCACTTTTAGAGCTGGGTCTGCCATAAATCTCAGGTCCAAAGCATCATGCACTTCTTTAAAAAAAAAATTTATTCATTTGTCAGAGAGAGAGAACAAGTAAGGGGAGCGGCAAGCAGAGGGAGAAGCTGGCTTCTTGCTGAGCCAAAGAGCCTGATGTGGGACTTGATCCCAGGACTCTGTGATCATGACGCAAGCCGAACTGAGATGCTTAACTGACTGAGCCACCCGGGCACCCCCAGAATCACGTACTGCTCCTGCTTTGGGGTGGGCACACGCTGGCAGCTGAGCGCTGGGCTCAGGCATCTGACTTCCAGTTGTCTATTTCCGCACTTAACCATCTAAGAATCTCTACTCCTGTTATCTCATTAGCATTGAGACTATGAAGTCAAATCAATCAAAATGCTTGGAAAAGTTGACAATATTATCCAAATGTCCTGGCATATGAGACTACTCAGCGTTGTTTGTTTTTGTCGAGTTTCTGTTGGGTGGGTACAGGAAGGTAATGTCATCTGCTCTCAGCACGGACGAAGCTAGATGCTGAACACGTACGGAATCTATGATCATTTCTGAGAACAGTTGGTAGATCATTAGCAGTCTGCTGTTGACCCACTGAGTCCGTATCATCTACAGAGCATGTTCTGAGATCACACAGAAATCAGTATACAAGGCAAGTACTGGACGCTCTGTTCTGCAGATTGGCGAGAGAGCTACACAAATTTTCAGTCATATCAATCAAAGCGCTCCTATCTGGGGGCCAGTCGGCAATCACTGTTTCCTCTCTGCTTTTTACTTTTTTTTTTTTCAGTTTGAGAGTCAGCTCTGGTCCTATCCTATTCTTGGCCAGGGAGGTCATTTGTGAAATGCACGCTAGCTATGGCAAAGTGTCACGAGAACAATTTCGTGTCATCCCCCCCAAGGATTTGGAGCTCTCATTATTACGGCATAGCAGCTCTACACATAAAATAGGTAGAGGGTGTAAATCATCGATTAGCGGAGCATATGATTTTCTGGATGGCTCTTTCAATAGAAGACACCCCATAGTTGCTCATAAATTTAACTCCCCAAACCTGCCAATCACCCATTCAGGGCCTTTAGCTGATCCCTCCTGATTATAGCTTTCATAATGCAGTGGCGTTCAGAGACCCAGACCACCACCATCACCTTAATGCTTTTGCTTTCTAATAATGTGACTGCTGGCCTGGCACCGGCAAGCTCTCAGGAGAAAAATGTGTCAAAAGTAGAACACGTCAGGGCCAGATGAGAAGGAGCGGCCTAACAAAGTAAAATGTCAATAGCGGAGGTGAAGATTACATTCAAATGAGACTCCTTTCTGCATCTGATGGAAGGATTATTTCAACACCAACAGTCTGGGAATGAAAGTTGTTACTGCAACAAATGGTAGCCATTTTAGAATCTGTTATTAGAAAAATATATGCGCGTGTGGCCAACACATATATAGGTAATCAGCATGGAATCATTCACATAAGGACACCACAGTCGAGTTCCCTGATAATGCTGAGGAAAAGGGAAACCCCTATTATTGGTTGCATTAAATGAGGGTGTGACCATTATTACAGATTATGTATATTATCAGGAACAAGCTTACACACAGTAGAGTTTATGTGTTAAATGATGATATATTTCCTCATAGAGTTTGGCTAAATGTAAGCTCAAAATGAATTGTGTCACTATAGGGACTATGAATGGGGGTTGCTGGAGTACAGGGTTTATTAGAGTGTGGAGCGTGGGGACCGAAAGGCAAGCTGGAAAAGCTGAAGGCTTTCCAGTTTCTTCCAAGTTATGTATTCATAGCATGACGGGTTTGCTGCTAGTCTTATGAACTCCTAGGATACCAAAGGCATCTGTACGCAAACGCACATGTACAATATAGCTTCTAAAATCACCACAAATCATATTTTGATGATCCCTTTTTCTGGATTTTTTTTTCTGGATTATCTTTCTAATACTGTAGGCAAGATGGTGCCATAGTTAAAAGTGTATGTATTATATTAATCACATCTGTGTTTTAATGGTTTACCTGAAATATACATGACTCCTCCATACACAGTCCCAGCATGGCCATAGTGGGGTTCACTCATTTTGGCAACATAGGTCCACTCATTTGTTCTTGGATTGTAACACTCCACTGTGGCTATTGTTTAAAAAAAAAGAAAAAAAAAGAACAGACAAAAGAATAATTTATAATTTCAAATTTAGCAACGAGCTATTTTTCCCTTTAGGTAAAAGAATAATATTTAAACAACGAAACCCTATCTATTACAGATATGAGATACTCTTTGGGAGGTCTCTTTTTTCACTTATTGAGATTATATTACTAAGATGAACCATTAATACACTTTACATTAGACTAGAGGCTCATGGGATAATCTAACACATCTCCGTCACTGCAGAAGTTGCCAGAATTTCTTTTCTTCTAGTATCTTGTTACATCTTTGTAATTTGACACTCCTCCCATTTCCTTGTTCTAAGTATGTGGGAAGATGAGGGTGCCTGGGTGGCTCAGTTGGTTAAGTGTCTGCCTGAAGCTCACGTCATGGTCCTGCGGCCGTGAGATCGAGTCCCGTCATCGGACTCCCTGCTCAGCGGGGAGTCTGCCTCTCCCTCCCCCAAGCTCGTGCTCTCTCTTGCTCTCATAAAAATAAACAAACCAAATCTTTAAAAAAGATAAATATGTGGGAAGATGAGAAAATCATAAGGAAGAAGAAAAGTCAGTTCTGATCCACCACCTAGGAAACCAAGGTTCATCAACAGGAAGCAAAATCTGAGGTTGAGAATGAATGTATGTATGTATGCACACCGCCTGGCATATGTTCTGGCTGCCTCTTGCTTTATTTCACATCCGGACTACACAATAGACATTGGCAATAATTCTTCTACATTTCTACATTAAGGCCGATATCACTGTAGCCAGTCATGCTCCTACTAGAAGATGACTGGCAGCATGGTATGACAGGAAGATTTCTAATAGGGGCACTTCCTTTCAGTAATAAATTTATCATCCTTAACAGAAACTATTTTGGAGAAGTGACCTCAACCTATTTAAATATCATTCTGTTATAAACTCAAGAATAGCACGACAGATAGAAAACGTAATCCTTTTTTAAGAGGCAGAAAGAAATAGGGCTGCTCCGAGTACTCTGGTCAAAGACACAAAGTCTCGGGGCACCTGGCAGGCTCAGTCAGAAGAGTGTGTGCATCTTGACCTTGGGGTTGCGAGTTCGAGCCCCACGTGGAATGTAGAGATTACTTAAATAAATTAAACTTTAAAGAAGAAACAAACAAAAACGCCATACAAAGTCTAGGTAGATTTGAAAAGTTTATACTGTCGGCAACCTGATTTTTTGTCTCCCCTAACTCTGCGTTTTTCTTAGGAATAGAACCACGACACTGCACACAGAAGCGCCCTGCTAGACTCAACATTCAAGTTCCCTTGAACCTGGAGTTGACCATATGATGTAGTTTTAGGCGATGGAACAGAAGCAGAAATCTACTGAGTGGGGCCATCTGATCAAGCCACTGGAATGCCTAACGGATGAATCATCCCTTGAACAAGATTTCCGATTTTAAAAAAATAACAATAACATGAGAATGAGAGATGCATTTTCTATTCTATCCAGTAATTTCATTTCCGTACCAAATTGACTACGTGGAGCACTTATTTCTCGCCTAACAGCTCCTACATTATACCACTTCTCATTTCCCTTCACTGATGGCCTTTTGCACTGGCTTGAGCTTTACATTTTCGGGCTCATCTCAAAGGCTTTTCCTGTTCTCATTTTGATCTACTTTGTTGGTTTTGTTCATTGCTTTAGGCCTGGATCCTAACCAACTCTATTTCTTCTTCTTCTTTTTCCCCCCTCCCAGCTCTATTTCTTCTAAATCCTTCCATTAAGTAGCCAGATCCTGCAAAATCTTCCCCCGGAACAAGAGCTATTGTCACAATTCATGGCAAGCTGAAACTGATTGATACCGGTTTTGGCCATTTGTAGTCACTGGGCGTCTTCTCTAATGTTCATTTCCATTTGCCTTTAGCACGACTTTCACTTAATTGACAAGCACAATCCTACTAGACACACATTATTATCTCTCTCTCTCTCTCTCTCTCCCCACTTATAGAGGATCTAGTATATTGATTGGTACTTGGCATCAGCAAAGTAATTAATGGTAGGGTTTTAGCTGATTAAAAAAAAAAGTAGTCTAATCACACATTCTATCAGTGAAAGGGCTTTAAAAGACTTCCAGAGATCATCTTTTCCACGTATCTGATGGCAAAGACAGGTTTTACTATAGTTCTATGCTTTCCTTAATGGAAAAATTCTGCCTTGAACTTTGAAATTTCTAGAGTGTCACAGTCTCTCCTTATGTCTAATTCAATCTACTCTGATGGAGTTTCCATTAGTTTCCTCCTATTCCTTTTGGAGTGGAGCTAGCACTCGAATAGCTATTCACTCTTTATGATTATTAAAATTTTCCCATGTAGAAAGATAATGCCGTTCTTCTGTCAGTGAATTAATTGCATTTTTTCCCCTAATAGGGGTTATAAGAATCCATCTATATTTTCTCATACAGGAGTAACCTAAATGCAAGATGGCTATTAACCATCAATAATATAAAAACTATGTAATAGTTCATCATCCCTCAACTTTTCTTCTTTGAGCTAAATCATTCATATCCTTCAGCTTTTCCTATCATTAAATATCTACTCTCAACCTCTAGACTGTCTCCATCAAGTACTGTTGTTCTAAGTCAAATCAAGAGTATTTAGTTTTAAAATAGAACACATCTGATTAAAAGTATATACACACACAAGTCCTTATTTTCCATATTCTCAAGGCAATGGGATATAGGCTCGTGTCAAAAACCTTGATAGGGGAAGGGGGCAAGGGATGATGCAAGGGACAAAACAGTGTTTCTGTCATAGTCTATGAGAGGTAGGAATGGCAATGAACTAATTAGGAAAGTCTAGAAGAGGGTTGGGCAAATTACAGCCCATCAGCCAAATCCAGCATGCTATCTGCTTTCTGTGTGGCCCACAAGATAAACATGTGAATGGCTTTTTTTTTTTAAGATTTTATTATTTATTTCAGAGAGAGAGAGAGATCACAAGCAGGCAGAAAGGCAGGCAGAGAGAGAGAGGGAAGCAGGCTCCCTGCTGAGCAGAGAGCCTGTTGTGGGGCTCGATCCCAGGACCCTGAGATCATGACCTGAGCTGAAGGCAGAGGCTTAACCCATTGAGCCACCCAGGCACCCCAAACATGTGAATGGCTTTTTACCTTTTTTAAAGAGTTGGGGGAAAAAAATCAAAGGAAAAATGTTTTGTGACTTATGAAAATCATGTGGAATTCAAATGCTGGTTTTCCTGTAGAAAGCTTTACTGGAACACACCCTCACCCGTTTGTTTATAAACCGTCTGTGGCTGCTTTTACAATATGACAGCAGAGGCAATTCGCTGTGACAAGATCCTATGGCCTAAGACGCTGAAAATATGGACTTTCTGGCCCTTTATAGAATTTCACTGACCCTTATTCTAAAAGTCACCTTCAGTGACGTGCAATTTCAGTTAGAGACCCTCTCCAATTTGAGAATGACATGCAGGTTGCTTAGTTCACACCAATCATGAAAGATTCGTAGCTGCTCAGGTGATTCTACTGGAGTCCAGAATTGGTCCCAAGGGATGTTGTGGGACTTACTTGTTCTTTTTGAGAGTAGGCAAGGGATGAACCCTGAAACCACTGGAACCACTGGTGCTTAATGAAGAAAACTGCAAATCCATGAAGGGATATAGGGGCAGTTGATAAATTTCAGTCATTTTACTGCACATTTATTTGAAAAAGAAAAACTAACACGTTTTTCTGTAAGTTACTTCATTATCCAAAAGCTTGACTTATTAATAGTTAACAGAAATGAAAGCTATCTGAGTTGTCATATTTCTCTTCAATATAGAAAACCTCAATGGAAGATCAATTTCTTAAATGACAGAAGTTTGAAAGATGCCAGGAATAATGAACTCCTCTTCCACTGAAGTGACAGCTCCTCTAAGCTTCACGTAGTTTCCAACTGCACCCGGTGTCAAAGGAAAGCAGCATTTCTAAGGAATTCTACTGCAGCAATCAATATACCAGGCTCACACACACATTGATAAGATCTTTTTGATGTACTATGGGCGTAGGTCCATCCATACACACTCCAAGAAGGGCTTTTAAAAGGCCAAATGCATTAAAACGATCTAAAACGTCTTGCAAATGCTGCCACTCTTTTCTTTTCAGAATTACATCTAGGAGATGGTCATTGCATACACGCAGAATAAATAGCATGCTGGTACTAAATGAACCTAACTAATTTTTTTAAGAGAAGATTTTACTTTTAAGTAATCTCTACACCCAACGTGGGGCTTGAACTTATAACCCTGAGATCAAGAGTCACATCTTCTACCGACTGAGCCGGTCAGGGGCCCCGAATTGTTAAATTGTTAAATGACTCTCCCATTGATCCCCATTTGCCTGCCCCCCCTTCACCCCCCCTTCTTTGTTTACACAGGCATATTAATACGGCAAAGGAATCAGTTAGGATGGGAATGCGAAGTTACTATAACAGATGTTGTTTTTTTTAATATTTAAAAAAATATTTTATTTATTGGACAGAGAGAGACACAGCGAGAGAGGGAACACAAGCAGGGTGAGTGGGAGAGGGAGAAGCAGGCTTCCTGCCGAGCGGAGAGCCCGATGCGGGGCTTGATCCCAGGACCCTGGGACCATGACCTGAGCCGAAGGCAGACGTTCAACGACTAAGCCACCCGGGTGCCCCTATAACAGATGTTCTTGTGTGTGTGGAGGGCGTTCCCATAAAAAAAAAAATTATGGAGCAGGAGAAACGTTAAAAACCCAGCCTCTGGCTGGAACATTCAGAAATAAAAGCAAGAGTCTTTTTAGGACCTAAATCTGCTCTTCAACGAAAACCATGGGTCCAAGAAAACTGGAAAGGGCAAGAGACACATATACAGAGAGAAACATTATTGATAAAGAGAATTCAGAAGAAGTCAACAGCACAGAATGTGAGGAGACTGTTTTAAAACAGTCTACTTCTTGCTCCCAAGTACGTCTAAAATAGGAGAAAGTCAAAGGACAGTGGGGTGGCCTGATTTCACTGCACTTAAGCCAATCAACTGATTTTCTAAAAACAAACAAACAAACCCTTCCAATATATTTTAAGTTAAAATATTCACTACAGACTGGCTTTTGCTGGGTATACTGATTTTAAGGCAAACAGTCATTTTCTACAAAAGCATACTTACTTACTTGTAGATGACAGGAGGTAATTTCAAAGGGAAAGAAATGTCATTGGCCTTTAAATGGAATCAGAGTTGTTTCTTGGTATTGAGGGCTTGTGTCTCTATTACAACCATCTATGTATTTGTGAAACATGCAGTTTACAAATTTAGATAAAAATGGGCCTCTATTTACCATCTGGAGGAGTAATCATTTTTGAGACTATGTAAGTCATTATCCTTAGGTTTAAACTCTGGGAGATTGTGATGTTAAAACCTAAACAGAATCAAATAGTTATTATGAATTAGGACTAGCTCATGAGAAACATGCTTCTCTTGTTTCTTTTTACTTTCAAACTGAAACGCAGAAGGCTATTTTTAATAAGAGATAGAGGGTGTGATTTCTGAAGGTCATGAGCAAGGAAGGCAGCCGCTTGCCCAACGGGGTTGTCTACTTCTTGTTCCCAAATGAGTCTAACATGGCAAGAGCTCAGCAAAAGAAAGCCTCTAGCTTCTTTGGTTTTATGTAATGACCGTCCTTGGCCTGAAGATGATAGATTCTCAGAAGAATAAGGCCTCGTTCCACCTATTAATTAGAGGGGATAACATCGCTAAGCAAGCACCGACTGAGAAACTGGAGCTCTTTCTCCTGAGGAAAGAGGGTCTAAAATGGCCACTCACGGTCAGGACTGACGACCTACCATTTGTAAACCTGCAGAGATGATCTCCTACGAGTGGTTTTCCTAAGAAAGAGCCAAATCACTAGTTACAGCTTCTGAATATTTCCAGACATCCCCTAATTTAAAATAGTATCACAACATGAAAATCATGTGTGTGGGTCGAGTGAGGAGACCTGAAATGACAATTCGACGCTAAGGGTACTGGTGCCTCAGATGCTTTGAACAGCCTGATTATTACAATAGATCGGGCAATCTGTGTGGTTCATGATGATGACCCTGAGTCCAACCATTTCGAAAGCCCGGTCTTGGGAAAAATATTACTGTGACAATAAAGGGAAAAAAATTGCAGGTAGGAAAGATTAGTAACATTAAGATGCCCCTAACAAGAAAGGGCTTGATCAGGTGGAGAGCGTTAGAGCTGAGAGCAGTTCTTTTTGCCTCCAATAAATAGCTTATTCTTAAATCCATTAAGCTACCAAGAAAAAGATTCTGATAATTACTCTCAATTTATCCAGAGCCAAGGCCAATATTTTCCACATCCCCACCATTACAGAGCCCGGAATACTGGTCAACTACAAGGACTCTATTCATCGCAGAATAAAAGAGTGGTGAAAAAAAGAGGCCAAACGATGATGGTAATGACAGATATGGAAGGCGTGACAGAAAATGCGGTCTTCCTGACTTCTTTTTGGACAGCTATCTTATTCCAATTTCATCTAAAATACAAAATTAGAGTTCATTTATGTAGCCAAAGTACTGCTCTATGTTAACTGCACTTGAGACCAATCTTTGATTAGGGAGACAAAAATGTGGCCATCTAATAAAGCTTACCAGAGCAGTTTATGGTGAATAAAATTGTTTGGTATTTCACTCAGAGAATGATTTTTTTTTAAGATTGTATTTTTCATTTATTTATTTGAGAGAGAGAGAGAGCAAGAATGTGTGAGTCGGCGGGGACAGGGGAAGAACAGAGAGAGAGGGACAAGCAGACTCCGTGATGAGCATGAAGCCCGACCTAGGACCCGATCTCGTGACCTGGAGATCATGACCAGAGCTGAAATCAAGAGTCAGACGCTTAACCAACTGAGCCACCTGGACACCCCAAGAGAGAATGATTTTTAAAACTAATACTCACAGATCCCATTACTCACGGTAAATGCATTTGGGATAATATTGAACTTTGTACATTTAATTGACAAAGAAAATTATCTTTCTATGTGGTCTAGGTTCTAGGATAGGGTAAAAGATTATGTAAAAGAAGAAACGATAACAGTCCTCTGTAAGGAAGGGTTTTAACCTGTACAGTAAAATATTATGTGGGCTTTTAAAAATGGAAAATAAGGAAACATGCCAGACTTCTGTCCAAGATTCTATTAGAATTTAAAGGAGCAGAATATACTTTGTAGTTACACTGTCAAGATGAAAACCATACACACTGCCAAATAAAATATTCTGCAACATACTGATGTATTCCTAAGATATCATTTGTACCCTGGCCAAAAATATAAATCCGGATTAGGCATACAGATCGTCTCTGATATTTCCTGAGCAGAACAGTTTAAATGAAACCCTGGCTACATTTTTGTCTTTAATTTTCCAGAACTGCTTATTTTATGATTTAATGAGAATTGGGGGGTAAAGAAATTAGCCTCTCTGTTTAACATAAATGCACACACTTACGCAGTTCCCCAGCTGCATTTCGCCCACCGACTGCGTACAGATATCCTTTGAGGGCACTTAGGTGGAAAAAGGTGCGCTTTTCATTTAAAGATGCGACCTGCATCCATTTATTGTAGCGAGGATCAAATCTGAAGACCGTATCGACTGCCGTTTTTCCTTTTGTGTCATAATTGCTCTGTCCGCCGACGACATAGAGGAAATTTCCAATGACAGCAATGCCATGCTGGTACCGTGGGGCATCCATGGGGGCTAACGATTTCCATTCATGGGCCTTTTCATCATACATGCGCAATTCCTTGCTGACAACCAGCTGCTGCCTCAGAACTCCTCCGAGTGTGACCAAATGAGTGGTGTCAGAGCGAATGGCAGTCCTGTCTGACTGCATCACTGGCTGCATGTATGGCATCATTTGGTAATTGCTGGCTTCCAAAAGGAGATTCACACAGGTATTGTCAGTTCTCATGAAATCCACGGTTTGCACATAATTGATGAGCTCCTGCGGTGTCATCAGTGGAAATCGTATGTTCTTCATTAATTTGGCAGCAAAGTCCATCCGAGGCTCTTCTAGGCGTAGCCAGCGACAGGTAGCCTTAAAGAGCTCAAGTTCAGTGCAGTGCTTAAGGCTATTACTGGAAAGCACAAAGGCAAGACGCTCAAAAGGGAGCTTCAAGAACTCCCCAGTGCTCAGCAATGCAGGAAAATTCTTCAAGACAAAACTGTTGACATATTTATCCACTTCTGTCAGATTGTAGGTGTTGGCAATCCGACCAACTTCGACACAATTGTCTAAAGTGACCTATTAAACCAATAAGAAAAATTAAAATGCTACCAAGTTCATGACACTCCCAGTCTGGATAACATAAATACCTGTTCTAGAAGAAGAGTAAACTAAGCTTTTTACTGTCCATATAGATGCCAATCAAAATTCTTATCTAAATACATTAATAATCTAAAGAGAATTCACAAACCACTTTTACCTACTCCCATAGAAAGGTAACTAAAAGAAAATTATCTACATCACATCAACAAGAGAAAGGATAAAAACCCTGTAATCCTTTCAACAGATGCAGAAAAAAGCATCTGACAAAGTATAACATCCATTCGTGATAAAAACCCTCAACAAAGTATCTTTAGCGGGAACAGACCTCAAGCATAATAAAGGACATATATGAAAAACCCACAGCTAACAACACACTCAATGGGGAAAAACGGAGAGCTTCTCCTCTGAGATCAAGAACAAGACAAGGATGTCTATTCTCACCACTTTTATTCAACACGGTACTTGAAGTCCTAGCCACAGCAATCAGACAAGAAAAAGAAATAAAAGACATCCAAACGGGCAAGGAAGATGTAAAACTATCAATATGTGCAGATGATGTGATATTACATACAGAAAACCCTAAAGGCTCTACCAAAAAACTACTAGCACTGATAAATGAACTCAGTAAGGTCACGGGATACAAAATCAATAAATGGAAACCCATCACATTTCTATACACTAACAATGAAGTAGCAAAATAAGAAATTAAGAAAACAATCTCATTTACAATTATACCAAAAATTATAAAATACCTAGAAATAAACTTAACCAAGGAGGTAAAAGACCTGTACTCTGAAAACTATAAAACATTGGTGACAAAAAATTGAAGATGACATAAACAAATGGAAAGATATTCCATGTTCATGGACTGCAAGAATAAATATTGTTAAAAAGGCCATACTACCCAAAGCAATCTACACATTTACCGAAAACCCTATCAAAATACCAATAGCATTTTTCACAGAACTAAAACAAACAATCCTAAAATTTGTATGGAACCACAAAAGACCCTGAATAGCCAAAGCAATCTTGAAAAAGAAAAGCAAAGCTGGAGGTATCACAAGTCCAGGCTTCAAGTTATATTACAAAGCTGTAGTAATCAACGCAGTATGGTACTGGCACAAAAACAGATACATAGTTCAAGAGAACATAAGCGAAAACCCAGAAATAAACCCATGATTATATAGTCTATTAATCCTTGACAAAGGAACAAGAACATGCAATGGGAAAATGACAGTCTCTTCAACAAATGGTGTTGGGAGAACTGGACAGCTGCATGCAAAAGAATGAAACTAGACCACTTTCATACACCAGACACAAAAGTAAACTCAAAATGGATTAAAGGCCTAAAAGTGAGACCTGAAATCATACAAATTCTAGAGAGCACAGGCAGTAGTTTCTCTGACATCAAATGTAGCAACATTTTTCTAGAGATATCTCCTGAGGCAAGGGAAAACAAAAGCAAAAATAAACTATTGGGACTATGTCAAAATAAAAACTCCTGCACAGCAAAGGAAACAGTCAACAAAACAAAAAGACAACCTCAGAATGGGAGAAGATGTTTGCAAATAACATATCCAAAAAATCATTAGTATCCAAAATATATAGAAATTTATACAACATGACACCAAGAAGACATAAATAATCTGATTATAATATGGGCAGGGCAGAAGATAGGAACAGACATTTCTCCAGATAAGGCACTCAGATGGCCAAAAGACACATGAAAAGATGCTTAGCATCACCCATCATCAGGGAAGTGCAGATCAAAATCACCATGAGACATCACCTCACACCTGTGAATGGCTAAAATCAAAAGCAGGATAAATAAGTGTTGGCAAGGACATGGGTAAAAAGGAACACTCATGCACTGTGGGTGGGAATGCAAACTGGTGTAGCCACTGTGGAAAACAGTAGGGAGGTTCCTCAGAAAAGTAAAAACAGAACTGTCTTATGATCCAGTAATTGCACTACTGGGTATTTACCCAAGGAATATGAAAACACCAGCTTGAAAGGATACATGCACCCCTATGTTTATTGCACCATTATTTACAATAGCCAAACTATGGAAGGAGCCCAAGTGTCTGCCAATAGATGAACAGATAAAGAAGATGTGGTAGACACACACACACACACACACACACACACACACACACAGAGGAATATTATTCAGTCATAAAAAAGAATGGAATCTTGTCATTTGCAACAACATGGATGGATCTAAAGTGCATAATGGCAAGCGAAGTAAGTCAGAGAAAGACAAATACCATATGATTTCACTTATATGTGGAATTTAAGAAAGAAAACAAGTGAACAAAGAAAAAAAGAGACAAAACAAAAAACAGATTCTTAACTACAGAGAACAAACAGATGGTTACCAGAAGGGAGGTGGTTGGGAGGATGGGGGAAACAGGTGAAGGGGATTAAGAGTATACTTATCTTGATGAGCACTGAGTAATGTACAGAATTCCTGACTCAGTATATTCTACACCTGAAACTTACATAACACTATATGTCAACTATATCGGAATTAAAATTAAAAAAAGATAAGTGGACAACAAATATTTACTGAATAATGAAGAACTTAAAAAGTATCAAAATCAGTAATCAGAAGTTACCCTAAGAAACAATGTTATAACTTGATTATGGCCAAAATAATTCCTTTTCTCTTCTTGAAAAATGTATGTTCCCTCTCAAAAAAAAAAAAAAAAAACTAAATGAAATTCTGGCTAGATGGAAATTTTGGAAAAACAGAGGGTTATTCTATTGTGGTTCACCTTAATCCACTTCTCAGTCATGATTCTTGAAAGGTACATTGCTAGCAGAACGGCAAATAGAAAACCTCTTATACAGATCTCTCTTTCATGTAAACAGTCATGGTTCATTACTGTAATGCATTTTGATTCCTTCAAAAGTTAGTTGTTTCCAATGAAGGGAATTTAATAAGGCAATTATTCCTAGGGTGGAGTTATTTTCACATTATTTATGTGGCAATACAAGGAAAGGAATCACTTCCGTGAGGATTGGAACAGGTGTATCTCCACCAAACTTAACTCATGGCACAGTTAATTTCTGGTGTCTATGATGATGGCTTACCACGGTTTCCCTTGGCCATTCTCCTACTCCCAGCAAAACCTAGCTCTGCCTGGAGTCAAAATGAGCCTAGAAAATTCTCCCCTGCACAGAGGACAACGCAGCAAAAATGGAAAATAGGAAAAGAGGACAAGTGATGGAGAGGCCCATCTTCAGCAAGATGGGCCTTTCTTTCTGATGCTTTCATAACTGGTCAAAAGTGAAAACAGGAAAATCATATCAGCAAATATTATGCGAGGCACAACTCATGGAAACAAGGCTACCATACAAATACCTGTGTGTATACAAACACACAAGCAGGTCACAGGCAAAGGACTCAACTCTTTTCTCTTAATTTTCTCAGTGTGTGTGTTCACACATGTCACGAAAACTTCACGGACGCAACTGAATTGTTAACAGGTTGGCCGGTGATTAAGAGAAAACTGGCTACTCCTTGTATTATCCTTTTATTTAAAAGCTGAAATGAGACTAAAATAATTACTCCTCCGCATAAAATATCAGCCCAGGTAAGACATATCATCACTGAACGCTCTAAGGTCATGGCACACACACAAGGCTATTTTCATAGATTGATTACTCGGGAAGAATTTGAACAATTTTAAGCATCTGATCTGCTTTATGGGAACTGCCAAAAAATTTTAATTGCTTTGTATCCTTAACAGCTCTATATTAAAAAGCTAGCTAAAACAGAACTGCAACACAAAAGAAGTAGGAAAAATAAATGAAATTAGGAGACTTTTGAAATACAGTTTCACTCCGTTCAGTACCTTGCATTTCCAATGCAGTTTAATAAAAAAATACATTTCAATCCAATTTTAGGCGTGGCACGTTGGTGTCTCATAAAAGTTTACATCATATAAATGAGGTTACAGTCCATTCCCAGGTGCCCAAATCACCTCGGGTGGCAGGAATTAGTGACTTTCTGAAGCATGAAAGGTGGAGCCTTTCCCCCAGAGCAAGGATAATTTGCACTTTGGAACCCACTGACTAGTATGGATAAGCAAGAGCTGATGAGAACACAAAAATAATTATTCCCAGGTATGCAGATTCTCACCATTAGGGATATGATTGCCAATAAAAACCACAGAAAATGGGAACTTCAGATAGGCAAAATGATACCGTCAGTTGCTGGTCACCAAATGTATGTCTCAATTTGTAGCATATAAAATGAACAGAGAGAAAAAACTAAAAACCAAACTGTATAATTTAGAAATGTGATTAAGGTGTTTAGTTTCTTCCCCTTTTCCCCCTTCAACTTCATCCAATAAGAAAATAATTAATAAAATAACAGTATTTTAAAAACCTACCTTTGATTTAAGGGCATCTGGAAAATATCCTCTATATATCAGTATCCTCAGAGACATATACACAAAACTACAAAAGACCTTGACAGACCTCCTAGTATATCCAGATAGCTGCCTACCCTTTTCTTAAAAGCCACCAGAGAAAGGTATTTCATAACCTCCCAAATTGTCGTCTTCTTGATGGAAGGACTAGCATTTTCTATACCCCACGTACAACAGCTATCACACTGTGGGTAAATAACGAAGGTTAAACACTCTAATTATCAGCAATATAAAAATTAAGATGTGAAGAGAGATACAACTAAAAATAGAATACATTCTGAATTAGTATAAAATATTACTAGACCCTTAATTTTTAAAAATGAAACCCATATAAAAACTATGTAATAGCAAATTAGTTGTTTATGTAGTTCGTGTCATCAAAGCTAAAACAATTAATCATAGATTATAGAGATTATAGAAGCAAAGTCTAGAATAACAGTTAACAATATAAGCAGATCAAAATGATGGGATAATGGTAAATGATTTTGGAAAAATATGCGATTATCCAATTATGGCTCATTTTCATCCACCTCTCAG